CGTACCAAGAAGCGTGGGAAATTGTTGCGATTTCGTTTTCTGGACTCATTAAATGTTCTTTTGGCTTCTTCCTATTGCGTGCAAAACCTCTCACAAATTGCAGTTGTGGGGGTTGTCTGCAATCTGTCTCGCCAGCAGCCCTGATTTCGAACTTTTTGACATTAATAGCCTAAGTTTCAGTATCTAATTGTGTTTTATGGGTATGATTGCCCGCACGCATGCATTTGATTGCCGATGTCGATTCCACGTTTGGCTTGCGGCTGTCACGTTTTAAAGGAGCTGAGCTTTTCCCTGCTCCTGGATCAAAATGAAAAAAGTCAAACAAGCGTCCGATATATTAAAATATTTAATTGAGGTGTGTTTGGGGGGGGAGGAGGTTGAAACCAAACCATTTTGGTGTGGGTCGCCTTAATCACCTGCTGTTACATACTAGTTAGATTAGGCGGGAGTTCGTTCCCAGCTTACACCAGATGTGCGCATACTCATAATTTCCCAGGCAGAGTCAAACCTTTTCCCAGCAAGGAATACGTCATGTGAAGACACTATGTCGCCAGTCTCAGCGCGACTGGGCGCAAATTTCACACATTTTGCATTTAAGGATGTGTACGTTCCTATCCTTCTCTTTCTGGTCACCATATGTTCCATTAGTCGCCGACAGTGCAGTTTCCATGAAAAATCGCAAATCAGGCTGACGCCGCTGAAGGTCGCAGGGCGGGGCAAGCGAGCACATGTGTTGTCCCCCGAGGCCAGGCAGTGTCCATGTGTGACTGGATGTGCCATGTGCTCAGAACTTCGCTTCTGTAAATAAATTGTTTGAAGTCTGCTGTTGTAAGCAATCCTTTCACACCACCGAGAATACTGCGTGTCAGCCTTAAGAATTGACAAGGAACAAAAAAAAAAACAAAGATGTTAAACAGATTGACGGAAGCTGGTGCTAGTTCTTGCTTTAAATGGTGCAACAGACACTTGTGAATTTACTTTCGCGATAAACTAGCTTGACCTAAAAGATAGTTTAGCTTAAGAGATTGGCCTTGGCTGACATGTTTCCCCAAATGAAGAACAAACAATATGAATAAATCGCTGAACAACTTCTAGGGGGGTACCCGCATCCTCGTGACAGGACAGGCGGGCGGTCGGTTGGTTGCATTACTTTTGATCAATGCTGAACGTAACAATAACGATAGAACATGTGCAATTACGGGAGCGTATGTATGGATGCATGAAAAATTGTATATAAATGTTTCATGCCAATAGTTAGATGAAAAGCTTACATTTACAGTAGGTATGCATGTTTACACAAGCAGTACACTGTGGCTGCTTATCTGGATATTTTGCAGGCTTTCGACCGGGTGTGGCACGAGGGACTACTCGCCAAGATCAAAATTATGCTCAAATCCAAATCCCTCTACGGTCCGAAGGTAAACAGGGCAGACCCTCAAGGTCGCAACATTTGCTGACGACACAGCGGTACTCTCGATGGTTATCTGTGTCAATACAGCAATACCTCAAGCTGTTTGAAAACTGGGTCTTCCTGTTTGGGAAACTCGTGGAGCAGCGTAGGAATCACACATACCTCGGAGTTACACTGGATGCACGTTTAACTTTCGACAGTCACATCCGCAGCGTGAGGAGCAAGTTGGTGGGTAAGGTCCAGAAAATGTTCTGGCTACTTAAACAAAGCAACAAGCTCAGTTTATAAAACAAAGTCATGATCTACAACGCCATACTACCCCCTGACTGCAAGTACGACATTGAGGTGTATGGGATTGCCGCCAAGACTAACCTTGCGAGGATCATGACATTCCAGAGTAAATTTCTGCGTAGGATCTCCGAAGCTGAGTAGTACATCCGTAACCGAGACATCGCCAAGGACCTTAACGTAGCACTTGTTGGTGATGTTATCAACAATCAAGCGAAAAGCCATATTTGTAAGCTCAGAAGCCACCCTAATGTACTGGCTAAGTGTCTTGCGAGATCCAGATACCGGCGTAGGCAGAATACACCAGGCGACCTACCCAACAGGATGATCTAAGAGGACCCCAACCCTAGAATACCTCGACAGATAATTGAGACAAATAATATCCTCATCCAAATTCTTCGACCTTGATGTTGTAATTTTTCTGTGACTGTTGTATAAGTTACTCTAACAGTAACCACAAACAACATAATTTGTAGCAGTGATATTATTTTATAACCAAAAATACAAAAAAAAATGCTGAATATAATAAAAAAAATTTTTAAAACATATCCATTTGGGTACAACTGACATTAGCTATGACAATTCCGAGAAGTCAGTGCTACCTGGCATCGAAATGACTTGGGTGGGTAATTCCAGAAATCTATCAATCGTTCGCGGGTCAGTTGAACTATAGGCATTGGCCGGAAATTAGTCTTAGCAGACTGAAAACAATTAGCGATTGAGACTTGACCTAGCACGCGAGGATAGCGCCACGTCACAATTTGCGCAGGTAACGGTATACGAATAAAGTAGGTATGTGTATTTGCTTGATTTTATTTGTATATGCATACATATGTTCACCATTTTAAATTAATATAGACACATATTTATTTTCCCCAGAAGGAAGCCCCTTCCTCGAGCTTTATAGGCGACTGTATACTTAGTTTTTAAAAGGGTCAGCTTGTGTAACCGTTTGCAGCCAATCTGAGCGCTTTGAGTTTCAAACAGAAGCCAAATCAATAAGTGCAATTCCATAAAAAACTTACCAAACTAATTCTTTAGTAATTCTAGCTGGGGTTTGAAAAAAAATGGTTGATTTTCAAGGAGACGATCAAATTTCGCCGACACGTACACAATCCACTTTTGGAAGTCCAGCGGTCCTTATCCTTGAACCTCGCGCTGGACAAAAGACAACGGCTAAAAAGCTTTATCGCGACCTCAGCGGCGGTAACGGTGGCTGCTTAAGTTGCCACTACGGCGGCTGGAGCTGGAGTCTCCCGTCCAGCTCCAGAAAACAGGTTAGCCAGCCGTCCAATCGCATTCTTATAAAGCAGAACAAGTCCCTAAAAAACGAAAGTCATCATTCAAAAAGTATTCTGCGCGACAGCAACAAACTCGTGCCCAACGTACATCTGCTGCTGAGCTCGGGGTATACCAGGCACAAGGAACCCTAACGATATTCTGGCCCACCTCATTTCCGCGATTGGTTTTGTTCTGTGCCGCGTAAGACGAAGCGAAGGCATGATCATGCGAAATTTAAACTTTTTCCTAGAATTATTTTATTTAATACCCAATACGCACGGAGTACACAAGTTCGGTAAATATGTATGTATGAACATTCCTATGTACATATGTATGTACGTATACATATGTATGCATTTGGAAAAGGATATTCGTGTAGGTATTGAGTTAGACGCATATGTATATACATATATACTCGCTACCTCAATCACGAACATTGACACTCTCAGCGAAAAAGGCCCGTGCTATCGATGACGCCATTTCAGATCTTAAATCTGCAAATGAGGCTACCCTGTGTTTAATTTTTTTCTTACAGCACAGCTCGTAAATTAAAACCACAAACGCCGCCAATCCCAATCCAGACACCAACACACCACATACAATATCCTTGACTTGTTGCATGTGCTGCATACAGCATACACCTTATCACGTGTGGCCAAAGTTATGGGGAGGGGATATTGTCGCCACTGAACAGCGACTGGTGTAGCTGTTTTTTTTTTATTTTTTTTTTTATTTTTTTAAGCCATTTTTGCCGTGTTGTCGCAACTTGTTTGTTGGCTTTGGAAAAATGGGAGCTTTGGACCCTTGACCAAGTGTAATGGCTCTGTGAAATTAAAAAAAAAAAAACAAGCGGACTAGATCCTTGCTATTTAATCTTCATTTAAATAGGTATGTACATTAGTATGTATGGGGGATGGTAACGCTGTGTTACGCAAACTTCTCAAATTTGTTGGCATTGCATCACACTCGTAAATACAAATTAATAATCTGCAACCATTGTCAAAGACGTCAAAAGCAGAAGCATCTACACATATGTGACGCATTTGATTCCTACTGCGCAAACGCCTTGCTGGTGAAACAGATAAAAAGTGAAAAGGTTTTTTGGGGATATCCTGAAAATGACAGAAGCCACGTCAGCAATATAAATCTGGCCCATGGGGCTGGGTGGGAGGTGTGGTGGTTCTAGCTTAAATATTCCAAAAAATTTCGAAACCCAAAATATATATTACCATAGCATGTCCATACCATACCTCTTTTACTTTGTCGGCAACATGTTTCCCAGTCACATTTTTAGGTCCCCAGTAACATATTAAAATTTTATCCGAGGAGGGAAGACTACGAAATCAAAGTAATTGGTTCGTGCCAGTTCGTGAGAGCGTCTTACTTGAAACATACCTTATGTCCATACCATACATTTTTTTTACCTTGCCAGCAACATGTTTCCTTGTCACATTTTTAGGCTGCCAACATATGAAATGTTCGCCGATGTGGGAAGGCCACGAAATCAAAGTAAGGTTGGTTCTTTGTCCGTTCGTGATAACCCCCTACTTAAACATTCCTTATGCCCATACCATACATTTTTTTACCTTGCCGGCAACATGCTTCCCAGTTGCATTTTCAGGTTGCCAGCAACATTTTTAGGTCCCCAGCAACAAAGGCGGGCGTATTTGAATGAATGAAAGAATGAATGAAAGAAACTGTCTGAAACATGTTTTGGCCACCGACAAGGAAACAACAGAAAAAGTAGTGTCGGATTTTCTTCTGAACTCGAAAAAGTTCGTTGATTTTGATATATTAAAAAAAAAAAACAATTCAAACAAGACATTTTTGCCAGAAAACAAATACTTAAAATATTTAATTCAACAAACCCTACTTTTTTGTAAACGGTCTGAAAATACTCGTGAAAATCGGAAATGAAACAGCAATAAAAAAAACTGTTAAATGATCAAAATAGTTATACAGTTTTCTTGTGAAGGAGCCTTATAAACAAGCCCAAGCTTTATATAATTTAAAAACAAAGTGTTAATGATAGAGAGATATCAATTAGTTTCCGTTGATATCGTATCAGTTACTGAAAATCAAACTACTACGCGCCGCTGACCATCGTTAAAAAACAGCGCACTTGGCCCGTTTTTTGGATTACGCGCTCCTTCTAAGCAAGTTTGTGACTTTTAGTCATTTCGACTATGGCTGTTGCCCAACCAGACAAACTCTACATGCAATTAAGTGCAGCGGAACTAGCGGCCATCATTATGAAAGGTAAGAGCGCACGAAATGTTATTAAGGGCTTTGGCCACCTGTTGCCGGCTAACTGTGCAATTTAAACATGCACTTTAATATTCCCCTATATAAGTGCATGCGTACTAAGTACATATGTTCATATGTATATTGTATGTATGTATGTCCCGCACCTGGAAGTTATGTTTTTGGATTATATTTTGCGTGTTGAATAAGTCACATAAAGATCTAGAGGCGGTTGCAGAGTACATTACAGCAATGGATATTATTAATCCGATGCTGAGTCAGCAACTCTACTGCCAATTTGTTATTCTGAATTGAAGTGAAATCTCTGTAATAGAAACGTTACCAGATAAAGAGGTTCGAAAAGCAAAGTAGTTAGAAAAACCAGCTGTGCAAAAGCTCTAAATGAAGAACCGAACATGATGACTATCTGATGACAGATAGTATACTTTATGGGGGATGTGCTGGGCCATTCAGCACCAGCAGCGTAATCATAAAAGGGAAACAGTCCTTTGAGGGTGGCAAGCAATTGAGATACAGACAGATACGTAAACAACGCCAACTATTTGTCGCCGCCGTATGTCTGCCTGGGTTCTGTGACGCATATGTCAAACAGGCACTTTGCCCGCTCTAGTGAATTGAGGACGACGACGTCGCCAGACATATTGGCAATTTGTGTGTGACTGGGTTTGAGCACAGTTGGCCCGAGAACGACTCCACAGATTCACTCAGGATTAAACTCAAAATTTTAAGATTCAGTATGAATCTAGAAAATATGTTTGTTCGTCGTTTCCGAAAGTTTGTATGTGTTCCAAAACTTTGCTTCTTTTAAAATGAAATAATATTTTAATGTAGTGTCGGTATTTTCCCTTAGGGCCTTCGAAGCTTGTCATTGGCGCCAAGTATATTTATTTACCAAACATGGCATTTCAATAGTTGTCATTAGGGAACTCGAATTGATTTTTTTTTTTGTACTATTTTTTCATAATCTAACATTCCTGATAATGTCTGAATCAGCTAGGACCAAAATGAGAGCCACACATTGGTCAATAATGCAAGTAAAAGGCTGTGAGCCATAGTCTCTGGTTAATTAAGCGATCGCAATGCACCATTTAATATTTTGTTGTGTTTCATTCATAAAAATGGCGCGTCATTTTACTACAATACTCGTACACCATTTAGTCGTATAGACATATGTACATACATATAAATCTCATCTATAAATTTATGGATCTTTATATGCACGTCTGAATGTAAATATGTCTGTATGTTGATAAGCTCAGACTTCCCACACACGGAACGCTTCCCAGTGGACCGACCGGCAGCCAAAAGCCGCCTATGATGATAACCTTTGGCTGACTTTTGGCGTGAATATGGGATTTTCTGATGCCTCTGACAGTTAGTGTCTGCCTCTTTTAAGTAGGTTTTAGCTGATTTTCACGGCAGGGCATTCATTCTTGGAAAGAAAGCCCAATAACGTCTAAATGGCTGCCAATTTTAATGCAAAAACGTCAAGTTTGGCTTTGTGATCAAAAACTCATTAGATGCATGTAAAAAAAAATCAGAACTGACTTTGTATCGTAATATGTATGTACCGCCAAAAACATCTTTGTCCCCAAGATTGGGAATTGATCCTATTCGGTTTCTACTCACTACACCGTTTGTCTATCATACTATATAGGCCATCATTCAATGCACTCCTTATATGATAGATAAAAGCAGATGTTAACCACGAATACTTCGTTTATCTCGATCCACACACAAAACCGTACATTCATATATGTAACTGAGATGTTATATACGACGTGACGTGCACAGGTGTTTTGGCTTATACGACGCCATTGACGAAGTCGGCTTTAAGCAAACATTTGTCTGAATAAGAAATACAATCCTCAATATGAATGCTCTACACACAAGGGCTAGAGCTGTAGCTATAGCACTGCTGTTATTTATCCAGCCTGATTTCGTCGCTGCAATGTCAGTCAGTTGCTTTGAATTTCGTATGTTGTTTGTCTGTCTAAAATTAGAAAAGATTAGAAAAGCACAATAATTTGCTTATAAATAGTTGTGTCAACATGCAAAAACATACCTTCCGTCGTGTTTCCATACGTGTCTGGCTCGACTCAGATAAACGGTATACTTAGTACAAGTTAATACATCTGTATTTACATAGGTGGGAAACCGCTATCATATGATCTAGTACGTATGAGGAGCAAAAGTGGGGTAATAATGCATATCATTGGCCAGATGTATTATAGAAATATTTTGTAACGGAAAAGCACATAATTAAGTTCACTAAATGAACAGCTGTACTGTATTCTTGGGTAAAACTTATAGTATACTCTCTATTACTGTTGGCGATAAGAAAAAATAATACTATCCTGCCTGCCCAAGTCCATTGATTTGCATTTCACCCGAACACTTGCGAAGTACACCTTTATTTTTTCGTGTTTTTGTTTTATTAATTACTAACCGGGTTGTTGGCTTCTGATGCAGTGGCTGCTGCTGCTGAACTTGAACTGACTTTATTCGCCAGACGCAAAATAAATTACTTTCAACAAGTAAGCTGTGCTTAAACGCTTTTTAAATACCTTTAGAGGTCAGTGGTAGACCGACGGGCCTGGAAACAGGTTTCATTTTCGCGAGCAATGCAAAATTTGAATTTGCATTTTAGGACGTACATATGTATGTATGTAGATACATCAACACATACATACAATTTTGTACTTGCCAAATAGTACCAAAGGATAATGATTTTATATAGATGTTAATAGTTGTGTCTCACAGCCACAAACTAAATCGAGTACACAAATATATCAATGGGCGTTTGGATATAATCATAAAAGATTTTTGGTGTGCTGGTCAAAACAACCGCGAGGGGCTCCGAATGCCCTATGCGGCATGTGTTTCGCGAAAAGGGGGATTTTTTAAAATTTACCAAGCCTTACTTTAAGCAACCGGTTCAGCGTAAATACGTCACAAATGGAAGAAGACAACTAACATTTTAACTCTTTTGTTTATTTTTAGATTCACCCAATTCAAACGACCGTGATGCGGGTTTTTGTTCCGCCAGCTCGGAAAGCGAAGGCGGCGACGATTTAGCCGTTGAGCAAACGCGCAGTGGCAGTCCCAACATCGAACTAAAAGGAACTGAAGACTTCGGAACAGCAGACTCTAAGCCAATAGCACTAATCCGCAACAAACGCAAGAGTACGGAACCTTCGAAAGTTGTGGGATCGATGACGTCCACATTTGGACAAGCCAACGCTTGTCCTTCCTCCTGCGCGAGTATTGCTGCAACAGGCCCGCTTAAGAAACGCATACGCTATACCTCTTCTGCTGATTCAGCAGTGGTTTTGACACCTACAAGCTATAGCCCCAGTCGTAGTGTGCCAACCCCGTTAAGCTTGGAACACGAGATCATACCAAATCCGGCCCATATATTTGTTCGTCACCCAGGCGTCACTACTCTGCACCGCACGTTCGCCACGCATCCAGAGCAGAAAGAACCCCTAGAATTGGTGACAAAGAAACCACAGCAGCTAATTGAAACAGAAAAAAAATCGGAGACTTACTCCACAATGCAGAACAGAAAACCACAAAATCCAAAAAAGACATTGCACAAAAAAATGGCGAAAGAAGCAATCGCGGCATCATTGATTGATGCAAATCTTAGCGATGAGGACATGTGCAAGGTTGGGTCGGGGTCCGATACTTCTACATTGCGTCCGCACTCGCACCAACGCAATTATAAAAACATGACGCGGGAGCGCCGCATTGAGGCGAATGCGCGGGAGCGGACTCGAGTGCACACTATTTCTGCCGCCTACGAGACGCTACGACACGCCGTTCCAGCATATGCCAGCACTCAGAAGCTATCCAAGCTCTCTGTGCTGCGAGTAGCTTGTTCCTATATACTGACCCTCAGCCGTATGGCTGGTCAGGACTACAGCGCTGATCAATCGGAGCCGTCCATTGCCGATTGCATCGAGGCCGTCACATCAACTATTCAAACGGAAGGAAAGGTGAAGCGCAAGAAAGACGAGTAATCGGTATAGTTTACCAACTCTGAAAGACTTTTATTGGGACTGATTACTGCTCATGTTACTGTTAGTCGCGTGTGTTTGATTGTGGGTCAGTTTGACATACTGTACTCATAACCACACGTTCTAGGTTTTAGGTATAGTTGGGGTCACAAGTGACCGAATAGCTTTACAAGTTTTTAAAGCTTTGTTTATAGAGATATACACACCAGCTAATTTGTAAGTAGAGGGTACACAATAGGCGCGTTATATACATATTCTAGTGTACATACATACTCTTATGTACATATGTAGGTATGCGTACTTGCCATAATTGATATTTTTAGAATCTAAGACCAGCGATGTGATCCTAATTTAAAGTTGCTTTTAAACTTTGAAACTATAAGAATATTGAAACAGCTCAATGTTTTTGGCAGTACAAATATTGAAGAACACAACAATTGTTACCCCTAACATACATATGGATGTATGTACTCACGGCTTTTCATAATCCAAATTGACAATAATAGTATGGGAAATCCTAAAACTGTATGCCAAACTACTAAGTAACTTTGTATGATGTAGGTATACGTACCGATACACTTAAATATAGCCGATTTTCGCATAAAAGCGGCAAATTCCTAAAAAGTCACTAAATTTAATAATGGAAGTCATTAGTTTTACACTACTGGCAAAGTAGATAGTTTCCAATGTACAAAAGTAACTATACCATTTTTACAGATATATTATTCAAGAGATGAGCAAGATGTATGTACACAAATACAAACGAAGATCCGCAAATGGAACTAAAATGAAAACCTGAAATTTTCTTGTCTGTGTGAATATTTATAGTCTTTTACGCCTAAATTGAAATCTCATTGTTATAAGTACAGTGTATATGTATGTAAATTATGTAGAGATATAAACATAAGTGCCATAAAAGCAGTAAATATACAAATCCGACTGTCAAATGCCATGTATCCTTTAACTATCTGGTTGGGAATCGAGTTTACAGTGCAAAAGAAGTGCAGAGTGGTGTTGACCCATTAGTCACCTGGGTGCGAGCGTACTTGGAAGATTACAAACAAACACGAAGAACCAAACAGCGGTAACTGGGTAGAGGCGTTATTTATGTCTATACGTTGAATAATCTTATCGCTTTGCAACAAGCCATTTGGCGGTATAATAAAGTCAACAGGTGCGCACAGAATGGCAGGCGATCGATTCAGTACACCCGAACCCATCAACCCAGCTATTATAAACGCGTTTTGGCACACCATAGTCCCTTATCAGGTTCGGAAATAAATTTGTCAGCTAATCTAGCAGGCACAAAGTTTAACGATATCATGGTATAGTTAACATAGTGCAAGCGTACCCATGACGCATACAGGAACGATGCCAAACTAATAACTAGGCGTATACTATACTCGTATAAAACGAGGTGCCTGCATCTATTTGACCCAGTGCAATAGCCGCCAGAAATTACATCAGCTTTTAGAAAACAGGTTAATTAGAGCAGTCTCTGATCAGTATATAATGACTAAAAATGCAAACGTTACTTCGCTTGAGCCAGGTGGCTGTGCCTACACTTGTTTGTGGCCAATTATACAAAAATATTTACATCAGCTTATTTAAATTTCTACTCGAGGTTATTCTCCTAGTAGTAATCGTACTGTATATTTGAGTACATTTACAAAGAATATATTCAAACAGTGTTAAAATTAATTCAATAATATGGTAATGAGACAACGGGATACTTGTACATACATATATTAGCACAATCAAACTGTTTTTGTGCAAATAATAAAGAGAATGATTCAGCAATTCGACTGTCTTATGAGTAGGCATGTTTGCATTTATCTCTGGCTGGCTGGGAGCTTCAAATTTGATTGCAGTGCAGCATTCTGTAAGCAGTCTGTCGTCGTTGCTATCGATCGAAACAGTGCACAATGGAATTGTATCACGCCCAGCTAACCTCCTCCTCCTCTAAGACTAATCAGATGTAATCCGACATAAAACATCAAATTAATGTTTCATCACTTGAGAAACTGCGAAAGTGGAATATTTTACGTTTTTACCAAACGAATAGTCTATACAAGTAGGCTTCTTGAGTAGGAACATTGACTTTCCATTCTATTCTAGTTAAATTATCTGCTACGGACGTAAGCCTGACGTAATTACAGCAGTCTATTTCAAATACACCAGGCACAGAGGCAGCTATAATAAAAAGCTCCGCCATCTCACTTGAAAAGTGGTTACATTTGTCAATGAAGGCCCTAGAGCTAGTTATAATTCTATATCAATGAACCTGGAATTACATGTAATCGATTTATATGTAATGCCTCTATATATTGAAACAATTCAACATTTTATGAATTATTTAGTTGAGTCTTAGTGCTTCTCTGTATGGAGTTTAGCCATAATAAAATTCTGTTTTGCACAATATGCAAAATGGGAAGTTCATTGAACTAATGAACCACTGGACGGTGGCCATATGAATGCACATTTGTTTCGCCCGGCTGTCTACTGGTGAATCGGTATTAAACTGATTCGGCTTTTTACATGGGATTGTGCGGTTGACTTAGATAAGGAAGACAGCCTGTAGCTGTAGCTGTAGAAGTAATCCATTTCGTGGGTAGTGCTACCGGCATCTACCTTTATATTGTCTGACTACCTAAGGGAAGTTTGGGCAATCGCGTAAAAATTATTTTCAAAACAAAATAATTGAAACAATCATCAAAAGATCATCAAAAAATAATGAAATAAATTTTGCGAACGCATTTAAAATGAGACAAAGCTAATTTATATTCCGACAACACAACGGCGGGACCTCAAGAGCACCGAAGAGAAACAAAAAATTAAATGCAGGGTATGGCAAAGAACCAAGCGACTGCAGCTCTGTTCAGTGATATTAATAAGATTTATTCTCACATTAAAACTCTTTCTCCTTACGCAGGCACAGTCGATACAGTCTCATGTCCCATGTCCCATGTCGACGATTTCCCCAACCATTCGAAATCACACAGAGGCTCCGACTGTAGATTTCGGACTCTGCTCCGACTTCGACTCCGACGCCAAACTCGTGATGTTCACTGTTCACTGCCTGTTGCAACATTAAAGACATTAAACAAATGGACATCTGTTGCCAGCCGGCACAAGTTTTGTGCTTAGCTCGCACGGGGGCTCACGGGGCGTCTTCCACGAGGAGACTTCTACTGCCAACGCAAAAAATTAGCATTTGTGTAAACAATTAAAATAAACTAAACTATGGCAAGTCGGTGCATCACATGTCGTGACGAGATGTTATTTTAGTGGCAGCAAACTGAGAAATTGTTGTGCAAATATTGGCTTAAATATTGTCTAAAAATACCCATTCCAACTGTAGTTGCTGTTTTAACCCATAGCAGACGTCAAATATTGTCGCACCTGTCGCAGGTGTGGCCAACGTCTATTTCGGGGCGCACTTGCGCGTGTGCCATTGAAAGTGCGAGGGTGATCCGAGCCACCTTTCCTCATGGCATCACATGCTGTAGCTCCAAGCGTGATCTGTTCATTTAATATGCGTATAAATTAACATAGCTGACGTTGGCCGGACTGGACTACGTTGATAATTAGGTACAAATTTACTACTTGTCATAATAGCAAGGCTAAAAATAGCTGCCGCCTTTGTTATTTGGTTTTAGGCTAAATTAAGCCTACACTTTAATAAATTTGGTTCGATACATTTTTAACCAAATATTAATCAATTTATATGGTATAGAATAACTTTTCTGTCTGCCTTTTCTGCTTTCTAACCGGAAGTGAAACATTTGGGAGACCGATTTCTGGGAATATTTGCACAGATGGCGGCATTTAGTTAGGACTGAATGAAACTTATTTGCAACGGCAAATTAACATGTCCCCAAATTAACGGGGATGGGATGGGGTCTGTAAGTGCATGTGTGTGTGTTGCAGCACAACGCGCACACGATTCATTGGCGCCAAGATTGCAAGGTACAAGTGACAATTTTTAAATAAAACCAGACTGTCGCGCTAGTGGCGGGGCCATTGCAATCGTTGACCAAGCTAAAACACAAAAGAAGAAAAGGAACCTAGCTATTAGGCGAAGCGACACGACGCGACGCGACGCGACGGCTACTCTTCATTGCTTGCCAAATGTTTGTCTAGCAATTGTCGTGTAAAATATTTTAAATATACTGGATCTTTCACGTCCCAACATGTTATACATATGCATGTATGTACATATGTCCATATTATAGGTACTTACACATATACACACAAAAGTTTATCATTAGCCTTTAATGCAGTAAGAGCTGCATATAGTTCAATAATCGGTCGTATACGTTATTCTTCGTCATCTGTTGTTTCCAACTTATAATACCACCATGCATACTCCGTATTGACACCCAGTTGTTTATTGAATGGCTATCGTGGCCAATTATCACGTACTTTGCGGTAAATTAAGTACAAGCGATTGTCTGTGTGCGTAATTGACGTGGCAGACGGGAATTTCAATTGACAGATAGACAGACGGTGAGCAATGCGCATGTGCGCAGACGTTAACACAAAAGTGTCGCCAGATCCTCGTCGCCAATCTTGCCATGAATAAATGTCACTTGGCGCCAACATTTTGCATTCAAATTAAATTAGTTGGAGCCGGCCATCTATTCGTTTAACATAGATGAAAAGTAAAGCATTTCGAATTGAAGATCCGTTAGCTTACCCCAGATAATTGCCAAAAGGATACAAAAAAGCTGCACGCACCAGTTAGCAAAAGGTCTCATTAAAAAATACGTGGGGGCGTTGTTTGAGTTCCTATATTTACTCCGCAAAAATTTATATTTGGTCAATCCTGTTTATCTAAAAGGGTGTCCGCCGTAAATTATAAACTTGCCTGCGTGAAAGAATTCCAAAGCAATCATCTTTTAACAAACTCGTCTACATAGCATGTATGTGTGTGTATATTCAAAATTGATTGGATTTACTTTAAGCACGCAACATTCGAAGTTTTCATTAGACGAGTGCTTCGTAAACTTTTTGGTTTTTGAAATCAACACAAAATTGATTGTACAGTAAGTTCGTAGAACGATTTTATTAAGTTGAATGTCATATCTGACTACATATTGGCTGTATTCTGAGAAACTATCAGGTGCATATATTGGTTGATACTGGACCAGACTCTTATTGTCTACCTTACTGCGTAATAAAGAAAAGTGATGCAATTTTCACACAAGTTTACAACAGAGCTATGGGAAATTGCTTAGTTGTTTCAATGAATCTTACATTACTTTCCACGGCCTAAAATAGCAGGCACTGCCAACGCAGTTCTGTTGTTCAAAACAATGCTAAAGTTGGACGCCACACAAGCCACCAGCGGATCCAGTTCAACTTTGGCCAACTATCAATGCTATTCAGCGTGCAGCGTCAAAGCAGCGGACCCTGAAAGCCAATATGGCAAGTGCAACATCTGGGTGCACCATCGACTGGCTCTCTAGCAGCAACATGTGCAAGATTAAATGCACAATCCCAGCGAAGTCAGTTACAGAACGCATTAAGAGCCCATCCCAGAGGGCAGTAAGCCATACTTTCCCCTGGCGACGGTCGCGACGGCCATCAAGTAGACCGGGTGAGCAACACGATGCCTATCAGTGCAACAAAATTTACACATTGGTGCTGCTACCAGCTGTGACCACCGCCATCGCCAAACCAAGGCTATCCAGTATAATCCTGGTTGCAATGTAGGAAGACATGCGCATTGAATTGGCGCCAGCGCGTCCACGTCCACGCAACATGCCTTGCCGGACCCACCGCTCATCATCCCACTCGTCTGCCTGTTCTGGCCAAATGTGCCACATTGAAAATGATACATACACATCGAATTATACGTATTCACACATACCTCTCCTATACTTATAGTTTACATATATGTATTGTATACATTTTTCTTGTTTTTACACTTAAATTTGTACTTATGTTTAATGGGGGTCCAATCACATGGCATGGCTAATCCAATGGGCAGGGATTGTACATCGGTCAAATCTAAAAAATTCACAATTGGGATAGTAGGACTGTCCAATATTATTCGCATTCAAAAAAGGTCAGATATTGATTGTATTAAATTATCGACAAACATAATTTTAACGCGACTAGAAAAGAAAACTATATGGGTAGAAAAGGCCCTTTCCAAGACATCAGCAATGAAGAAGCAAAGAAACAGCAATAAACTTGCTGGAATTTTCGTGCAGGGACCCGAAAAAAAAAACTGTTTGTAACACAAAGCAAGTAGCAAAACAACAGACGCCGACCCGACGCTGATGCCATTGCCGACGGGACGGACTGTGGCTGCCGGTGGCTGGCGGATGGCGACGACAATACCGAAAAAGGATGCGAGCGAACGATGTGATTCTGATGTGTCCAACTACCATATAAAAATATGCAATCAAACGAGTGTAAGATTGATCTCGGGCGATATTCTGAGAAATCGAGAGCCGGAGCAGCGGTCGGTTTGTGGGTCCCTTAGTTGGAGGAGAGCACACACACACACCCAGACCGACAAGTATAATACAACATTTTTAAAGAAGGATCGGTCGGTCAAATGTAGGTTTAGAAGCGAACCAAGAATTTCCCATTTTGTGGATTTATCGCTGCCAACAATGGGCACCGATAGCCCTAGTTTGACCAAACGTAAACCTTAAGTTGTAGAGTTAATATTAATAATTTATAAGTGTATGTTTTAACACTGTTATGTATGAAATACAATATCGGCAAAAAGATAAAATGGAGTATTATCTATATGTTGTCGGGTATTTTCTGAATCAGAATCAAACATCTTCGATTTAAGCCGATCAGAACAAATATCCACAGATTTAACTTCCCAACTATTTTCGCCCGAGCTCTGGAAGCTTTGTCCTTGATCAAGTGCTCTTATGGTAGTCCATACGAGAACACATAAAAGGTTGTTGTCACTTCCATACCACGTAATTGGTTCTGACATTGCTTAAAACGCACTCACATTGGCAGGGTTGTCTGAATCCATGGGATTAGCATCGTGTCCAGTGAAAAAAGTGATTGATTTCCTTTCAATCCTTTCTGCCACGAATAGCGTTCTCTGCAGTCCATACACTATACAAAACTGTATGTCCACTCACCAATTTTTCGTTAACTTCTTTTTTGGATGGTTCGTAATTCGGACGGCGACGAGCATTCAGCTTTTCGCAGACTGCGTGAGTACGTCGCATGCGAAACGAGTTGCATTCCGTTGACCATTTCAAACAATTGCCACTGGCAACTGCTGTAGCAACAGCAACAGCCACAGCAAAGGCACAGGGACAGCGGCAGAGCCAGCGGACAAAACCCCAATTGAGGTTTAATTTAGAATGTACCCACTGCTACCGCACTGCGGAGGCATAGGCATTGATTGCGCCGTGTTCTGTGTGACAACAGTACACAGTTGGAATATTGATAAGCCCCTCGATACTCAAACTGCAGCACCAACAGCGGCTCACTTTTCCGCCTGGCCTGGCTGGCTAATCGGCGGAGGCTGGCGAACACAACATGTTGTAAAATGGTGCGAATGCATTTGTTACCATTTACTTCTGAACTGGCTCGTACTATCGCCGGCCCAATTTCGTCCAATTCGATTGGTTTTTTTGGTCGGAAATTCTTCAATGCGACATTTCTTAGGCCCTAATTATACCTGGGCCTGCGTAGTGAGGGGGGCAAGGGTTTATTGCCAGCGCAGGGTTTACATGTGTACATATGTATACATATGTGTACATAGTACGTAGGTATGGAGGATTAGTATCCAAATCCGTAGGGCCGTGCTAACTATTCTTTATTATGAAGAGGATACAATGAGTGGCTATATAAGAGCTGGAGCATCTTGATTATAAGCAATTACGAATTCTGTTATGCTGAGTAAAGAGTCCCGAGACGTCAGCATCCTTTAAATTAAATTAATAACATTATCAATCCTGACAAATTGATACAATGCACTGGCCATGGTATGCGTAAAATGCGAAGCCGGATCAACGAGATGCCACAGAACAGGTGATGATTGAAAGCCATGGACTGCCCAGAAGCAACATAAAGAAGCAGCATAAAAAATATGAAATTAATAATTAACAGGCCCAGCAGCAATAACATCGTCTTCAGCAGCTGGCCAATCAATAGGGGAAGAGAAAACGATACCAGCGATAATTACTATACGCACTATACGCATCCTGAGCGAAGTATCCGAAATACTAAAAGATTGCCACAGCACTTGGAATTCACAATTTTCGGTTAGACTTTTCAGCGATCAAAGAGACCAAATGAACTTTTTGTTTTTTTTTTTTTTTTTTTATAAATTTGAACATAAACGTATGGGTGACCAATTGGCGGTGCCTTCCATGCCCGCATAATTAATTTTGATTAATTACCGCAAATGGGTACACTCATCAAACCAGGAGCCAAGCCAGATTGTCCTCTTTTCGCTCACATTTTTTCACGAAATTCACCAGCATTTCAAGGCCTGTTGATGAAATATTTTTATACTCAGCCGTTCAACGCGTGTAGCAAAATTAACGTCTGTTTAGTTAGATCTGTTAAATATTTATCATTTTGAAATATCTCATTCTTTTGTAACCTGTATGCTGTTCAGTGGGGTTAAGAAGTACAGGCTGGCTATGACTGTTAATTACTTGTTGCGAAAATACATACATTTATTCATGTAAAATAGTTGCTGTTAATAAATGTTATAATAATATATACTATATACATATGGACCACCACCAAAGCCACAAAATAAGCCAAAGGATGCCAGCCAACTCTGGACCCAACGTCGCAGTAGACAATGACAATCTGTAATCCACTTCATTAGCAAAATGGACCAAAGCATGCGTAACACGTACGAACTTGAACCATAAATAATATTTTTTCTTGGCAATCGCAGCGTTGGCAGAGACTACTTCCTTTGGCAAGCCCTGGGAAATATTTACAGGGATGACGTTTTCGGCTTGAATTGTTTTGCTGGTGCTTTTTGTTGGCCATGCCAAAACAATGTCAACTGTCTTGCTAAACACATGTAGACATAAACGTCAATTGAGGACAGCATGCTCAGTGACGACCCTGGCAGTACTGCACTGCAATACTGTGTCCTTAATCGATTATCGTTTTTAATAATCAATTTCCGAGGCCCTTCAGACGGTCAGGTCCGGAGCGGTCTTGTCTGAGCTTCCTCTGCTCGTGCTCCTGCTCCTGCTGCTGCTGCTACGTGCTGCTTATGGGCAGAGGCTCAGTTGACAACGACAGCACATTGACATTTATGAGTTGGAGCGCGGCGCATTGCACTAGACCTTACTCCTTACTCCAGGGCGCAGAGCAGAGCTATTTTAATTGCAGAAAATTCTGTATACGTTTGGTAAAGATGAAATCATAAATCTACGCACACAGTGAGTGGCAGTCGTGTGGTGTGTGTCGGCCGATCGTAGTAGTAGTTTGTTGGACAGCAGCAGCGCCAGCCAACAATAGCAAAAATGGCACCCAGATCGAGGCAATAAAGACGACGTGGTTCTTATAAATATAAATTTGTACAACATGTCTTTCGACAGGTTGCGTTTCCGTCCAAGAAGAAGGGTAAAGCCACATATTCAATAACATTTTCAGGAATTATTCAATGTGAGTTTGGCGCAAAGTTCTGATAGCTCGTTGGATGATTGATTGGTCTGAAAAGGAAAAGATGTACGTCAGTTAAAGGTATCGACATAGCCTGGCAGATCGCTAGAACGATCTATTTTATTGGCATATAGTATACTCACTAGATCGGGGCCGACCGAGCCTGGTGGTCTCGATGACTACATCCCAGAGCCTCACGTCTCCACGGATATTAACAATATCCACACACTCTGGGTTCATTTGATGCTTAAAGCCAAGCAAGAGTTTTCTGTTCACGAACAACTCGTAGTAGTTAGGTCGACATGCAATTAATATGACAAAGGCTTTTCCAGGTCTTAGACTTGTGTTAAGGTGTGACACTTTCCTCTTCACCCAGGAGCCATTTAAATAAGCGCTCCGTGTGATGTTTACCTTACCAACTTTATCGCGTGATTTTCGCAAAAAACTCGGGCTAAAATAAAACGACACGGTTGGCTGTGGCCAAATTTGCTGGCCCTGCTGTAACGCCACACTGAAACTTTGGGGCATCATGCGTACCCGGCCTTCGATTCGAACTGCACGTCCCTCTATGAGTTTTTCGTGGTTTGGCACGCGGCCGTAAAATGGAAGTGCTAGGTTTGTATTTACTTGCCTTGCAGCTCTCTGCAGTTTGGATAAATTGTCCAGGGAGGCCCAGCTATGTAGCATTCTAGTGGCTTCCTCATTGACCCATTTCAATAAACTAGAGTCGTAGACAAACGGTAGAACTCGAGCCACTGATTGAGATAGCCGAATCGGATACTCTGTCACATAATATTTATCAATGACAATTTCATCAATGTCACCGCGTAAGTCGATTGCACCTAGCCATCTATACGGCATGCGATGAGCGTATTCGGCAAAATGATAACCATTTACTGAAATGTAGAACGATTCCACTGTGAGGAGTATCTGCATCCAAAAAGTATCCCCGCGTCTCAGTTGAAAGCGGAGCGGTGATGAATTTTCCTCAAGTCCCCATTTTCCCATTAAACGGGAGTTGCGCACAATATAGTTTTGAGGTAGTCGTGCACCGAGTTGCAGCAACACATCGCAGTGATCGCAATTTTCTTTTCCTTTTATAGTGAGGAAATCGATGGTAAAATGTTCACATGCACTAAGAATAAGTCCGTGGAAAAAGAAACTTAGCCCCGGCCTTGGCGGATCCAACAGTTTAAAGTGTTTTCGTCGATTGGCAGCAGTGCGTTTCTCATAAAACAGTGACATCGCATCCCTTTCTCGTCGCAGGGCAATGGTGGTAGCACCGGGTAAAAAATTCATGGCGGGTAGGCATACTCGAGCAAAATTTTACTAATTGAACAGATTTTGACCGAAAAATAAACGTATATTTGATGAAGATCTAACTATTTCGAAAAACCTCGTACAACAATGTGCTTATGTTGTTGGCAACATTCATTACTGCCTAATGTTTAACCAAAACAGAAAAGATTTCCGCACTGTACTACATGGGTGGTCACTGTCAGTCCTCGATTGGTGCTCGATCGGAAGAGCATTCAGATGTGATTAATCACATCTAATCACAACATACTTTCTCAAGCGTATTCGGATCCGTTCATCAGTGGTATTGTATATGGCAATCACGTAGTAGAACTGTGGTTGGTGAAGCAGCACGGCTGGTTCAAGAACTCGAATAATTAACTAAGCACCAAGCTCAACATAGGAGAATAGTGCATACTGGAGTCTGATTAGGACCTTCACCTCCAGTATGTGGTTGGTTTCCAGTTAGCGATGCAGATCCAACTCGGGTATCAAGAGCGAGAGGGGGGTAACTAGAAAGTCCATTAAAAAACTATAAGCTTACACTTTTTGGAAATAAAAGTTCCCATCTGATTTTAGCCTTGTACTCCGTCTATACAGTGCCACTGACCTTTTTCAGGCGCTTCATTGACAACAAGGTATATTTCACTATCAGACATTGTCAAACATGTGCTTTTTTAAATACAGTAAAATATAATTTGAATTGGCGTTTAAATTCAAAGCGAAAATCGCGCTACAATTTTAAAATATTTTCCAGCAGTCTGGCAGTTCCCTGGCGCTGTTTCACGTTTCGGTGCAATATTTAAACGATGAAGTGGCGCCCTCATCGGTGTAAGAGGGAGTTTCTTGAAAGTGAAGATAAGATATTGATATTAAACGAGGGGGAACGTTGTGAGTTGCTGCGGACACCGCAACTCTACAGTTATACCCGATACTAAGTCAGTATGGCTCTCCTCCGGCAGACGCCGCTAATATTAAGCGACACGACAAAGAATGCGTCCGAGAGAGACAGAAAATCAGTCTGAGCGTGACGTCGGGCACTGCGTAGCCAGTGCAAATTGATTTGTTCCTTTTGGCTATAAAAATGATCTGATCTGATCCAAATCCAAAGCAACCGGATAGATATGGTCATTCTCTATAATTCTGCGTTTTTAGTTTTCTCGAATCTGCAATATTGTGGATGCAACAGATTTTCGTCCTTTGTGGGGGTGGGGCGAAATTCTGAGATATACGTTTTATAGTGACATCTTAAAGGAGTGTGTGTACCAAATTTGGTTACTCTAGCCTTAATAGTCTCTGAGATTTGTGGTTGCCCCAGATTTTCGTCCTTTGCGGGGGCGGAAGGGGATGTGTCGAAATTTTGACACAAAACGGTCAAGGTCCGATATCACAGGAGTGTGGATACCAAATTTGGTTGCTCTAGCTCTTATGGGTTCTGAGATCCTTGAACTCATATTTAGCAATTGGCAAAACCGACCATGAAACCTGTGCGTTAGAGTGAGACAGAGCGAGAAAGAGTGAAATTGTTTTCGTGATTCTGGCTGTAATAATTATACGATCTGGTTCAGATTTTGCACTCTAGAAGATATAGTCATCATTTCTCGTATCGTCGAAATTGTGGATGCCACAGATTTTCGCCCTTTGTGGGGGCGGAAGTGGGCGGGGCAAAGTTTTGAAATATTTTTGGAGCAGTGACATATCACAGAAGTCTGGATCCAAAACATCGTTGCTCTAGCTCTTATAGTCTTTGAGCATTAGGCGCTGAAGGGGACGGACAGACGGACAGACAGACATGGCTCAATCGACTCGGCTATTGATGCTGATCAAGAATATATACTTTATGGGGTCGGAAACGATTCCTTCTGGACGTTACACACATACACTTTTACCACAAATCTAATATACCCCAATACTCATTTTGAGTATCGGGTATAAAAATGCTGATTTAGCAGCATTAAATGCTGTCATAGCAGCTGTCCTTCCTACAGATGTTGCAGCAACATAATATGTAAAATCGGCCTTTATATTGTACGTAGTGTAAATTTAAATATTATTAAAATTTCTTTTTTATAATATTTATTTAATTACACAATTTTTTTACTCATAGAAAACAAGCTTAGCAATTTATTATTGTCGCTCAAAAACTTGGACAAAAGAAATGAATAAACAAAATTCATGCTCGTAGTGGTTCAAGATGCAGCTCTCCATAGCTAGTATTCGTCATAGTACATGGGATTGTGATAGATACGCACATTCTTCCCTTTAACCATCGGATTGTGCTCCAGAGTGACGTTCCATAACTTCAGATCTCCTTGTATGTACACTGTGTCAACAATCTCAGGGCTTACTTTGTATTTAAATTCCAAGTTTATGGAGAATCTGTGGGATTGGTTCGAATGTTGTAATCAGATGGAAATTGATCAAATTGGATTAAATTGGATTTCAGACCTACCTCTCACAGTTAATTGCTATTTTGCCAGTAATGGTGAAGCTAACTCCTTCACTTAGTTTTCCAATTTGTTCGTTGCTGTACTTTGGCAGTGCATCTGAATATTCGTAAAATGAGGCGAAATTCTGAGATATACGTTTTATAGTGACATCTTAAAGGAGTGTGTGTACCAAATTTGGTTACTCTAGCCTTAATAGTCTCTGAGATTTGTGGTTGCCCCAGATTTTCGTCCTTTGCGGGGGCGGAAGGGGATGTGTCGAAATTTTGACACAAAACGGTCCAGGTCCGATATCACAGGAGTGTGGATACCAAATTTGGTTGCTCTAGCTCTTATGGGTTCTGAGATCCTTGAACTCATATTTAGCAATTGGCAAAACCGACCATGAAACCTGTGCGTTAGAGTGAGACAGAGCGAGAAAGAGTGAAATTGTTTTCGTGATTCTGGCTGTAATAATTATACGATCTGGTTCAGATTTTGCACTCTAGAAGATATAGTTATCATTTCTCGTATCGTCGAAATTGTGGATGCCACAGATTTTCGCCCTTTGTGGGGGCGGAAGTGGGCGGGGCAAAGTTTTGAAATATTTTTGGAGCAGTGACATATCACAGAAGTCTGGATCCAAAACATCGTTGCTCTAGCTCTTATAGTCTTTGAGCATTAGGCGCTGAAGGGGACGGACAGACGGACAGACAGACATGGCTCAATCGACTCGGCTATTGATGCTGATCAAGAATATATACTTTATGGGGTCGGAAACGATTCCTTCTGGACGTTACACACATACACTTTTACCACAAATCTAATATACCCCAATACTCATTTTGAGTATCGGGTATAAAAATGCTGATTTAGCAGCATTAAATGCTGTCATAGCAGCTGTCCTTCCTACAGATGTTGCAGCAACATAATATGTAAAATCGGCCTTTATATTGTACGTAGTGTAAATTTAAATATTATTAAAATTTCTTTTTTATAATATTTATTTAATTACACAATTTTTTTACTCATAGAAAACAAGCTTAGCAATTTATTATTGTCGCTCAAAAACTTGGACAAAAGAAATGAATAAACAAAATTCATGCTCGTAGTGGTTCAAGATGCAGCTCTCCATAGCTAGTATTCGTCATAGTACATGGGATTGTGATAGATACGCACATTCTTCCCTTTAACCATCGGATTGTGCTCCAGAGTGACGTTCCATAACTTCAGATCTCCTTGTATGTACACTGTGTCAACAATCTCAGGGCTTACTTTGTATTTAAATTCTGTTATGAACTGCCGGTTGACATAGACTTCAAATGATTCCTTAGCACATACAATGGCTAAACTGAAAGTTCGACCGGGACGGAAATTTGTATCTAACTCTGAACGTTCCTCTTCCGCCCAGCTACCATTGTACCAGGCATTGCGACACACGACTGCTTTTCCGATGGCACCGCTGCTCGCCTTCGAGAATCGTGGGTTTAAATGGAATGCTATTACAGGATGTGGCCATATGTCTCGGCCCTGCTGCAAGTTTATGTAGAATGAATGTGGAAGAAGACGCACGCGTCCTTCAATCTTCAAGCATCGACCCTCAACTAATGACTGCGTTGGCAGGGAGCCATAATATGGCAATGTAAGACCTGGATCGTTTGTGCTGTGTGTACTCTTTGGGCTGTCTGAATGTGTAACTGGCGCACTGATAAGGCACCATTCATGAGGTATATTGATAGCCTCCTCAATGTTGGCATCAATTTCATCAAGTCCGTCCTCTATGTGGAGTGCAATGTTCTTAGCCTGGGATTCGGGCAATCGTTGAGGATAGTTTTCCACTATGATTCGCTGCATTTCCACATCTTCGACATCGCCTTTTACCTCCAGAATTTTAACTGCAATATATGGAATTCGATGAGCATACTCAGCAAAGTGGTTACCGTTCACCGATATCATATAGCAAGCGTCTGTAATGAGCACTTGAATGGCGAAATTATCGCCTCTGCGTAGTAAAAAAGGCAGTGCTGAAGAAACTTCCTCGCTGCCCCATATATCGGCCACTTTGGTGTTTCGGACGATATAATTTTGGGGCAATCGTGGATTAATGTGAAGTGCCACATCCCGCGTCTCATTGTTGTGCACCAAGTTTATGGAGAATCTGTGGGATTGGTTCGAATGTTGTAATCAGATGGAAATTGATCAAATTGGATTAAATTGGATTTCAGACCTACCTCTCACAGTTAATTGCTATTTTGCCAGTAATGGTGAAGCTAACTCCTTCACTTAGTTTTCCAATTTGTTCGTTGCTGTACTTTGGCAGTGCATCTGAATATTCGTAAAATGAGGCCTAAAATGTGAATTTGATTTAATAGTCTTTAGATTTATGAACACTCCTTTACAATACTGCGTAGCGGCTTCGTTAGTTCAGGGTAAATGTTAAGGAAGGATAACATCATTCAAAATTCAAGCAGTTCGTATGAAGTGCCAACAATGGGAAGGCCTACTCAACGTAAAAACTCAAGTTCAATTTTAAAATAAAATTTTAAAAAATGTAGATATATATGTCAGCACTACATTTGGGTTTGGACATTAATTATACACGTAGGCCACATATTTAATTTTTTTCAAGTTCTTCCTATTTTTTTCATTGTTGTTTATTCTGAATGCATAACGAATTTTCAATAACATAACAAAGATCCACATACATTTATGTATACATATTCTTCACTTACTGCTTACCTCATTCAAACCGCCCTGTTTGGTCTGGTCACCACAGCAGAGCAGTTTTCTACATAAATCCCCAAGACACATTTTATATCCTTAGTTAAAACGGAGGCTACACAAAAACTTGAATAACTATACACTTTACACTTCAACATATGTATGCATTCTCTGGTACATTCGGTAAAAACATATTCTATCAATAGGCAAAAAACGAACAACATTTACAGCTATATATGTATATTTAATAGAAGGCCCCTAAGTGTGTAATCAATAATCTTTAATTCAACTAATATCTGCTTTCACGTAGCTAAATGATGATTCAAAAGCTGTCCTTGTATTTACGATCACAGTACATATAATTATATATTATAGGTACATATGTATGTAGTATATACACAGTATGAACTTGGGCACTACAATATATTTTGGTTCCCCATTGCCTTCGGTTATTCGAGAGATTTTTAGGCGTCAGCCAAGCCAAAAAAGTACGCCCTAAAGAACACCCGGTGAATCCATTATTGACCGCTTTGTTTTATTGAAACAACCACTATTATATTATTTGGATTTACAACATTTTTCGCTGCTGCTATAGCAATTGTTTATATTTATTCGGTTGTCTCACGCTTCGCGAATGACTCGCTATAAGAAACTCAAAACAACACCAGTGCGACAGCGCTAAAAAGCTTTTGTACAATAAAAGTGTGCTGCGTACTTCTACTGTACAGATATTAGTACTTGAGAATGTTTTTAAGTATGAGCTTCTGAACGAGCTTCAATATGAGATATTGTACAAATAAATACACATATTTATGCATATTTTTGTTAATAACATTATAATGATGGCGAACGTGCCAGGCCTTTGAACGGAGAAAACAAAAATGAGAGTACAACACTTTTTATGCCACGACTGTTGAAACAGCTGTGCAAAGCTTTCCAATGCACCCCAACAAATGCGAAAGAGAGAAGACTCTTTAAAGCACGCTAAATGTCACAGTAAAGACGCAAAAAGAGTGAATTAAATGAATATGTATAAGTGTACTAGATACTGGTATTCCAAAATATGTAACAAAACCGAAATATAGAAAGCTTATCGAGCTCGTACTCATGCATACACACATACATTTTTAAAGACACATATAGAAGAATATAACCCTAGGCTGTCATATGTTTACTGATTACGTACATTGAACTCCCTGCCATCAACAATTTCGATGTCAGACAAATAATCCATCTGGCAAAGGTGCTGACGCTCCGCTTCCTGAAACCTTAAATGCAGTTCCTGCGCTGTATCGTCGAAGTTTTCAATAATTTGGTTACAGTCTGCGCCGGCCTCAATGGCAGCAAAATCCACGTCTCTCCTACGATGCATGCTTTCCGCGTTTTTTATGTACTGACGCAACCAGAACTCCCGGCAATGAAATCGAAACAATTCTAGTCGACGCTTCGTATGGTAGTAGGTTAAACTGCGGTCAATGTTAAAGGCGTTTTGCCAAAATGCATCCGACAGATCGAGTAGTTCGCGAACGGAGCGGCAGACTAGTAGTATTATTGCCGTCATACTAACAAAAACGGGTTAGCAAATTTACGCGTTTCTCGTGATGCAGATGCGATTTGATGAAGCTTACACTCTCTTTTTTCTCTCTCACTGTCTGGTATTCAGCGCAGACTTGGCAAACGAGATGGGGCTCGTTTGTGTGATGTACGTATAGTATATGTACATACATATGTGCTCAAGTGCTCATGTGTTGGTGCCTGTTGATATTATTTCTGTGCGCACAGTTCTCTAGTCTTCTATGCCAGTGCCGCCACCTTTATGCTAAAAGTTTACATGGGCAATGAAATAGTCAAGCTTTTTCGTTGTGATAAGGTGCGAGGTTTATAAGTGTGGTGCGACATACATATCTCATAACGGAACACATACAAGCAAAATTCGGCGCGAGCGTTGTATATTGTAAGTTTCGATAACTGTGCCGCAATCAGTTGTATCAGCATTGAAAGGCGTTTCTTAACCCAGGGATTTTACCCTTACTTTGATTCTCCTCTGGCTTAAATGATAATGTACAATCGAAGGATTGTACTCAGTACTTACATCATGTACTTGTTCAAAGTGCAGGCGATGTTCTTCATCGCTGCTATAGTTCGCTCCACGCTTTCGCTTTCCATAGCAGCAATTCATCATTAATTATAAGACGACACTATCAAACAAATGTAAACCGAGAATGTATATGTAGTTAATTTATAAGTACGTACATATGGATGTAGGTTTTTGATCAATCACAGCCATTATCAGTTAATGAGATCTGGATAAAATAAATTTTACGATAACGGTGTTTAAATCTTGCCTATGGTTATGTACATAGTGTACATATGTACATGTTTTCTTTTGAAACAAAAAATTTATTTTTAAAATATTGGCGGCGTCACACTGCCAGTGCGGGTCGTTCATCTTCCTTTGCTGAAGAGCACCATTCACCTGCTAGCACCGCTCTGTTGGAACAACCGCCGCACAACGCGAGACATATTCAACTGATGTTTTGCTTTGCTTGTTGTCATCAACTGACTCAGACAAGACAACCTGTGCCCGTGTGTACGAGTATAGTATATAGAATCTTTATTTTTTTTTTTTAAAAACTCGATTCGATTCGTTTCGTTTCAAATTATATAGTTGTCAACAAATCCATATTACTTGTTTAAATTTTAAATTTTATAATACATAATTATCGCATAATACAAATAAATGTTTAATATTTATTTCGCGAAAATAGTGATTGCTGGGGTTATTATGTTATTAAACAAAATCTGAATGGTTATTTAGAGGTAAAACTAAGCAACGTAAGAGTAGACTTCGCAATAGCTGATGACTTACATACATATGCATACTATTAAGAGCTGATTATGAATGGAGGTTTGATCTTCTGTTTTATAGATGGTATTGTTCAATGATTGTAAGTGAAAAGAAACAATTTGACAAAAGCGGCTATCCAGCACTCCCTTCAATTTTCTTGTTCCAAGAAATGAATCGCATAATAGTAGTTTACGTTAAGCATTTTCTATGTTAGAATATTTACATATATATATGTATATGTATGTACAAAAACCCTTATTGGGATAAAAGATAAGATGTTGCAAAATTACTAAAAGTACTTAATACGGACCAAATCATTAGGAAGTATCAAATATGATCTTTAAGCATAAAGAGAAGTGCCATTTTACATACTGGTCCAACTCAGTGTATATATTCCTTGAAATTTTCAAATAGTTTAACTATTTTCGCACCATTACGGCTAATAAGCTTCAGCTGCACAAGTAACTGCTATATACTATAACATAGTTAATGTATTCGCGTGTACATTAAACACATCGACATTTTTGCATGAAAATGCGTCTTAAATATATACAATATTTGTCCAAAAATATATTGTCGTATTTGATACGTGAAAGGTAAGCGAGTCGTGTATTTCAAACATCTCAACGTTGCCGTGTCGACCGTGTACCCATTGAGTGTTGTGATTTCAGGGACGATAATGTTTTGTCACCGCTAGGTCCCTTATAATACTTGGACATAGTCTTGCTGGTGCGTGCGGGGCGACTGCTGCTACTGCTGCCGCTCCTTTCTAAGGCTTTCTCCCCTTCCGTTTTCAACGGCAAGTCATCATCCTCATCCCATCGCTCGGGTTTCTTTTCTTCATCCGCTGAGTCTTCCACTAATACGTCGGTCTTGGATTTGCGATTTCTACGATTCCGCGACGAGGAAGAGCTAACATCTGTACGTTCAGATTTTTCACTAAAAAGAAAAAAACAAGTTATTTGTATGTTTATAATATAACTAGGGCACTCACTCTTTCAGTGATGGTTTTCTTTCTTCAGATACTTTAGATCTGCGTTTCAGTAGCGCAAGCTCTCGTTCCGCTATGGCCTTTTTATGCTCCTCAGCTGATTCGGAAGCACTCGGCTTGGTGGTTGAGTCTGCCAATTGTTTCACTGGCTCTTCCTGCTTGACTCGCTTCAATTGTTGCTGTTGCTCCTGGGCCTTTTTCAAAGAACGTTTTAGTGCGCTTCGGACAGTATCTCGTGAACTCTCCGGTGGCAAATCGCTATTCTGGGGTAGACCAATGGCCTCTAACAATTTTTGACCAAGAGCAGACTTGACATCTGATTTGCGAATTCCTGTTTTGCCGACACCTTCGATATCATTGAAAATACCTGCAGCGGCATCAGTTGTTGCCTCAGGTTGTTCCTGAGTGTTGGGTGTAATATCGTCATTGTTTTTGGCTTCAGGGACGGTACTAGTGGGTGCTTGTGACAATTCTAATGGCTCTTGAGGACTTGGCGATTTCCCATCTTTATTTGTATCCTCTTCTGTATTCTTAGAAATAGTAGGCCCTGTTGCAGCACTGGTTTCATTCCCTTTTATGAGAGTCAGGGGTTCTTCCTCATTAGGCACTATGATTTCAGGCAGTTCGGATAACGGAGTGACGGTCTTCCGCCTCTTTACAATTGGGCGTGTTATCAAAGGTTCTTGGGGTTGCGGGCTTAGGTCGTCTACCTCGCTGATGTCAGAAACAGTTTGAACGCCCTCTAGGGCCGGTTGCGGTTCGACTAGCACAATATCTTCCAAATTTAGATTACTGCTGGATGCACTACGACGACGGTGGCTTTTATATTGGTCTTTTGATTCCTGTTGTTCCTTAAGCATTGAAATAAGCGCTTCGTTAAGCGCATCGGCTGGATTAGATCTGAATTGTGACATTAGCATAGAGTTGATGTTTAGTAGCTCGTTGGTAACACGTTCCGCATTCGATGTGGCGGCTGCAGTGTCAGTGTGCGACTTTCCAGAAACAAATTCGCGGGCGCGCATCTTTCGTTGTGGGCGCTTTACGGAGGGGACTGTCTTTATGAGCCGTAATTGTGGTGGTTCCTGATCGGTGGGACTAGATGGCACTAATTGAACTGACGTTTCCGGAGGTAATTTATATGGAATCGAGCTTGATAAGTCAGCTATGTTTATAACCTCGTTTGACGCCGGTGAAGTCAACGAGTTCGATGCGAAAAGGGATGTAGACGACTGATTTTCGTGGTTTTGCACCACCGCCAGCATAGGAGCCAAATACGGGCCGAGCAACTGCGTGAGATCAGTGTCTTGCAAGAGATTGTTGTCAGACATAATACCGGCAAACTTTGAGCTCTTTAAACGAGTCATTTGCTCTTCACAATTTCCGTCTGAGACTGGCCATTTGAGTGCTTTTAGAATAAGCCTTAACAAGTCAGGATCCCGAATAACACTTCCCAATGAAATGGCATCCGTAAGGCTATTTACATTAGACATCGATGGCGATGGGCCAGAACTTTGTGGACCGGTCGGTGCTAACGTTAAGTCGAGTGTGACAGGGGCAGATTTGGTTGGGCTTGAAACTATCTTTTTAAGTTTTGATGGCCCCTTTTGGACCATGTGGTGGACATCATCCTTTTTTTTCTTGGGTGCCGCTATAATAATGTGCTCCGGCAGTGCTTCTTCGACGCATGGCTCACATCCATACAGGGATCGGTGTGGCACTACTGTAGTGGTGACCAATGGTCTAAGATTGGCAACTGGTTGTCGACTTTGAGCCGATTTCAGCAATGATACCTGTCCACTGTGTATGGCTTTTATATTGTTCAATGCATTTTTGAGATTTCTCCGTTTTTGCTGCAGCACGCTATTGGGAAGATTAGGAATGCCGACACTACTGGGAGAGGGTGCCTGCACGGAAGTTTGAGGATTTCTGGTATCCGTTCCGTTGGAGTTTTGTCCGGAATCCTTTTTGGTGCTACTACTACTGAAAGTAGGTGCGTTGCCCGTAACGCGTCCATGCGTTTGAATAAAGTTAATCACGCCTGCCGGCGAATGTTTCTTTTCCGGGATGCTTTTCGATGTTTTCAAAGCCCTCACATCGGAATGAAGGGGAGCTAAGGATGGAGGACACTGCATCGACCGCTGTGCTATCGACATCGGTGCCGAACCGTAACGCGTATCAACAAAAACGCTGCTGCGCCGCCTTGGTACATTATTGCTTGTCCCTGTACTTATGCCAGCCATGCTATTACTATAGCTGGAAGATGCCACTGGTAGGGCATGCTCCCTTCGCGTCTCGTGGTGGATCTCCTTCACTCTATCGCCCACGATGTCATCCTCTTCTTGAGTGCCCGCCTGGGGCATTGATACAGTGATGGTGGTTTCTGGTCCACGAGTCAGAAAAATCGGACGGAATTCATCAGGCACCGAATGCTTTTCCACGTTTTTTCTAACTGTCTGCTCCATTGGCATGTCAAGCCGTGCTGCCGTTGCTTCGCGATCATTTTTTGGCTGAAAGATTTAATGATATCTAAGCTTAATGGTTTCTTAATTAAAAAGACTGATTAGTTTTACCACTGTGCTTAGTAAAAAGTCCCGAAACACAAGTTGTGTGTGCTTTGCTATATTCGAGAGTGACGATGTTGCCTCCACCTGCCGATAGCAGGATTTGCAGAGTACCTTGGGCAGTGGATCCTCCTCAGCTACCTAAAAAGATTGAAGGATGAATAAACAATACAAATTTGCCATTATTATAATCCCATATCAACAGGTTTAATGTGTCGTGCACCTGTACATGGACGCTTTTTCGCTACCACAGCCACTATTTTCAATTTTTTTTTGCCAATTTTGATCGACCATTACACACATAAATATACGTATTACATGCAGCATTTGCAGTTTTGCACAAATACATTTTCCGTTGTTATACTTAGAAGCTTTTACGATTTTTTTCTCGTTTTGTTTGCGAGAATGTCATATTTGTTAAGCTTTGTTTTGGGAATGCGACTCTTCTTAAGTCGCGAGATATAAATAAATCTATCTTTGCAATGGACTCTAAATTCTGCAGTAACGGATCTGGTTATAGTCGTGCAAACATAAATTTCTTTTTATACTATGTATTACCATTTTCAAATTCTTCAATTTCAAATGGGCGCGAGGCTATACACTACCAGGGATGAAGCACACCAAAATTTAGTATTTTCGCCGATACACACTAAAAATGCCATACCGCGGTCCGGTTTGCAAAAACATTCTGTGCATAGAGCATAATTGCAATACCTCAAGGATTATATATTTACTTACGTTTAGGTATAGATGACGCGATATTTTATCCTTTAAACCTTGGGTCTTGAATATGAAAACACTTTCGACCACAGAGTTGTTTTTGCTCTTAGTGTTGGCCGCACAAATACGACACAAGTGCTCAAACTGTGCATCCATTTTAACAATTTACTAAAATGTCTCAATATTTATGCCGAATTCAATGCACGCACACTGCCATGGGTCGCTCGCCTTGCAAACTATATTTTTATAACATTTTTACAATTACAATTTCGTGAAAGTCGCGCGCGAACAATAACAAACTGTATTTATTCACATTGAAAGCGGCAAGAGAAGAGAGCAACTGATCTTGCTCTCTCAAACTCACATTTTGCTTTCTTCTTTTGACGTTATCCGCACTCGCTATGCTATGTTTTTGGTCGAAAAATAACTTTTCTTTCTCAAATATATTGTTTAAATGTTTTCAGCGCGTGGTTCGTTTTCTTTACAATGTTTTTATAAGGCCACTGCGGTCTATAAGGTAAATTTTCCAGCTTCAAATTGACTTTTGCCACACGATTTCACCAACACTTGCGTTCACACGAGCCAACAAAATAAAAATGAACGAAATAAACGTTGCTGTTTGCTATTACACTCTCCACCCTCCCATACATATGCATTCTTTCACGCACACACGCGCGCTGCGACGGTTTACTGTACTCTCACGTCGCTGTTGCTGTTGCTTATATTACACATTTACACGAATTTTTTGTTTCTTTTTTTTGTGCAGTGGTGTATGTGAACGCCTGGTATTCAGTCTGTTTGATGGCGCACAGCCAGTTTTCCGCTCTGTCCGTGTGGCCTCAATGTTTGTGCCTGTGTGCATATACCAGGGTATATGCATGAATTTTGGTTGGCTTTTCTTTCTGCCAGTACCAGGGGCGGACTGGGCAGATAATGTTTGTTAAAATTATGTCACTGATGATGTGAAGCACTTGATGGAGAGAGATTCTGTTTAGCTTGTATACTAGGTATTAAATATGTGCACTTGTTTGTGAAACCAATGGATATCAAAGATTCGAGTCGAATATTCTCTCTTCTTTACCAAAACTAGTTGTTGCTTTGTTCATGTGTGTGTGTGTTCGTCTGGCGCGTGAGAGTACATGCATACGTGTGGGTATTTGTCGTATTATGCTTTGGTGCTTCTGATCTTTCATTCCTTTTGTTGCTATTTCTTTTCGTTATCGTTGTATATTTCCTTTCGTTTTTCTATTCGTGTATTATGCAGAGAATTCATATGTACATATGTAAAAACTTTTAAATTATTTAAAGTTAATGTATGCAATTATCATCAAAAGGGGCCGGGCGGGTAATAAGAAAGTATTTTAGGATCTCTGAAATATAAATTAATATCGAAAGAACCCATTTAGTCGCTATTTTAATATAAAACAAAAAAGTAGGCAAACGTTTTCCTTTGTTTCAAATTTATCTATATAGATTATATGATCATAGATAGATATTTTCGGTTACATAATATCTATGGGAACCATTTATAACATACATTTCTGAGCAATACCTTGTGTTTACGATTTTCACTGTTAAAAAATATTCTTTCCTTTTTTTTTCATACTATAAGTATAAGAACTCCACTATGTCAAACGCGGGTTTAGGTACAGCTAATATATATGGGTATTTACTGCCTATTTGTATACACACAGAGCTATGAACAAATGCATATGCATCCCTTCGCCGCAAGGTATGCAATATCTGTTTTTTATTTATTTTATAAACTTTTTTTTAATGTTAACGCATGCTGAAATCGCATAACTAAAAGAACATAGCACCATCAATGAAATAAAGTGGCCATATTTGAATAAATGTACATATATGTATGTAAATATACACGGCAGGGAAGCATGGAAGCAAAAATACCATCCTCGGTCAAAACGAGCTCTCCATAAGGATTTAGTGGGTGGCTGACACTTTAATGGGAACTGAACAGTATTAACCACCATTCCCAGAAGATACGGATGACAGCGCTTGAGGTACGAACATTCTCTCTCATCTCTTTAGAGAAGTGACACTCTGGCACACTGGTGTATGCAAAGATTGGTTCGGTTTCTCTAGTGGCGACACACGCGTCTCAAGCCCGTCCTTTCCAATACTCCCTCAATACTGCGTCACAATACCACCTCCCAGTACAAAACTCACTGCTTTTGCAAAGAAGAATATATGCTCTAAGCGCCGAAAGCCTTGGGATCAATTAATATTATGTAACTCCTTCAACTAATATGATTAGAGAAGCCAGTTAAACCAAATAAAGCACGTAGATTGAAAACAGAAACACAAACCATGGAATCTGTTAACTTCTTTAAGACAGAATAATAAACACTGCTGTAGTCAAGAAGAAGGAACATGAAAGGGATTGCGCTTCAGCCCATCTGATTTGCAGAAATTGATTTATAGCACGGAGTGTCTCATATCAACATGGTGGATCGTGTGCATGGATGTGTTCACTTAAAAAGTGTCTACTCTGGTAAAAGCATACATACATACATAGTTAGATATGTACATATGTATGTGTGTATCCACATATTTATATTATTTCACTTCTGCTTCTGCTTTGTTCGCTCCAATGCGAGTTTTTGCACATTTCTCTATTAACATATGAATATGTGCATACATTTAAGTAAGTAAGTATCCCACGACTCTGTAAGAATATTTTAAAAAGATAACTTGAGGAGACTAGAAACTAAAGAGGGATATATTTCCGAAAAGCAGCTCGTACAGTATTTAAATCGGCTAGTCCAAATCAGCTCACCTCTCTAACAGACTGGTCTTGCAGACCCAGGAGACAGAAACTGATTCCGAACCTGCTCCAAATCACGAGGATTTGGTTTCCCGAATCGAGTACGAGGCTGGGCAGGTTCCTGTCGGCTCCAGGTAGTCGCAACCCAATCCAAGAACCCAACACCATTTTCGACCCTACAGGCAGAGTATAGAATGGCATACTATAGACGCAGCGTGCTCACTGAAACGCATATTCAAAGATTAAACTCCAGTACAGTACATTGTGCATATCCACATATATATATAAAAATATAGCCCCAAAAGTATGCTTTCATTCCATTTTTAAAATGATATCTAGTACGAATGTAGATAGCATGTAAATTTATCACGCCGCTGCAAATTGCCAAATATATAGCTATATGATAGTGTGGGTATCATATACATATGTATGTATATATTTTGGCTTTCAGCCTTCGAATTGTAGAAGTACGTTCTCGGCAACTCGCGCTGCCGCTAACATCATCTCGAGTGAGTATGAATGGTGCTTAGTGCAATGAATTCATAGTAGAGGTGGGTGCGGAGAATGCATTGTGAAAAATAGTTTGCATAGGCTGATGGTTGCCATTGCTCTGTGATTCGTACATAGATACTGCTATAAAGGGATTGCAAATGGACGGGCAAAGACCGCACCTTTGCATGTCAAAGATAGTTTGACATAATGTATCATCAATTGAATCATAAACTCAAAACAATTGCAATCCATTTGATACGATCTGAAATCTGAAATTTGGCACAAGGCGCGCACTTATTCGTTTGGACTGCAAGGTGGGGCATGGGGGATGGAAATTCCCCATGAATGCGCCTCATGTTACTCGAGTCATAAACAAAACACGCCTCCTTGGAACTATAATTTCAGTAAGCTCGTCTCCTCATTAAATGCCACGAGGGTACTTCAATTGCTCGATTGAGAATAATACATCTCGCAATGCCTTTACCCATACATTGGCTACAGAAAGCACCGGAAACAACCTACTGCGCTCAAATTATCAAATTTCTAAGATAAATCTTTGATATAAGAACATTAAACTGTACAGAGTATGGTACTTTCCATATTGAGTTAAATTTTACGTTGTTCAGAGATCCGCCTGTTGAACCGTGCCCAACAGTTGGTAATTAATCTGCTTAAAAGTTTCTCGAAAGACATGACTAGCTGGCCATGCGTCTGTCTATTTGGTTTGGTCTGTCCACAGGCAGCCTATAGATCGTGCGCTGCCTTTCGCGCCTGCTGTCGTGGTGTTCACGAATTTGCTCCAAATGTAGCGCTGTGTGACCACAGACCCACCGGATAGAGGCGTGGGGTAGTCAGTTTTGCGGGGTTGGTTTTGTTTGAAGATTATGTAAATAAATTTGGACATTTTTAAATGGGAAAGGTACATTTTTTTAATACTCGACAAGGATTTAAGTAACTATATTTTAGAGACTAAAAAATTGATTGATCCGTAAGTATATTGCCATATCCTCTCTTTGACTTGACACGTGGAATTCATGCAATGCCAACCAACTTCCTATAATATAATATCAACAATTAGTCAGCCATACACAGAGCTCATGGTTTCTTACTTGAGTACGGGTTACGAAGTCAACAGAGAGAGAAAGGAGAGAGACAACTTTTATGACACCATGACCTCTCCAAGTGCTCCCGGTTAAATCAAAGCAATTGGATATTACCACACACAGAGCAAAACAAAACATTCAAGTAATTTGATTTACAATTTGTTTCAGGTTACGAGTTACAGTGATGAAGTGAATACCGCGTAGACATGGGTACATGGGTACACGGGTAGAGTGACCCAAACATGAACGAACAACTACAAACCGACAATAAGAGAAAGAGTTGTGTCGCGTCCCGTCGCTTGCCTTGCGGAACAATTTGGAGCAGAATGTAGACCCCCGATCTCACAATTGTGGGCGGAGCAGCTTTGCAGACAGATAGCCCAGCTAATGCCCATTCGTTATAGTCAGAAGGCATGAGCATTAGCTAACTGATTTTGTAATGCATTGCAGCCCTTGTATTGTGTGCAATTCGAAAGCACGTCAAATTGCCACAGACAAAGCCAAGCCACAACAGATAAGTTTGTTCTCCAAACCCGTAAATCACGCATTGTACGCATCGCAATTGGTCAGGCCTCGCACTTGAACTTGTCCATTGCGGGTGCATGTGTAATGCCAGTTATACAGTTATGCCAGTCTCTGTATGAGACTCCGTTTCCCTCGGCCTAGCCCTCGCTTGCTGTCGAAAGTTAAGGAAGTAGATTGACGCAGTAAGGTTCTGCCAAGAATCAGCAGCGTAAGTTTCTTCCGCATTGCGAGTCGACTCCCGATTAAGCGGAACTGGATCCTGGTGGCAGTTAAAGAGGGCCCGCTAGTAGCCCAGTTGTTGATTTCCAGGTTGGTAATTGTCTTGCTGGCGAAACGACCTTGAGATTTATATGCTTTTGCCAGTTGATATCGAAATGGTAGTTCTGAAGTCTGAGCCGTGTAGTAGAGTACGGCTACAGTTTGTCATTCAAATCCGGTTTATTTAACCTACGCTCGCTGTTTCTTAACTTGGTGCGGTAGAGTGTGATATTATTATCAAAAAGTGGCTACCAACCAGAGTACAGAGTAAAGAGTATGGAGTGTTCACATCTAGAACGATTAGCATGCAGTTTTTAAAACGCCCAAACAGGTATACACACATATGTGCAAGAAAACATTAATAGAGCTGTTGGTGCATCCAGCGGACTTCTCGCATATGCTTGCAATATAATTATTGTCTTAATACTTACCTTAATACCTTCTACATTTCATAATTAATCTATTAGTTAAGCAGTTTGTGAAATTTATGTGAATGTAGATAGCCGTTTTCCAGCAACTACAAGCATAACTGGTCTGGTTAAAGATAATTACTTTAAAAACATAGAACTCGTATATAAAACGGGTGAGACGAATGAAGAACGAGTACGTACGTATGAGCCAGCTTCGTCTGCCACTCCCACTTTGGTCAGTGTTTGCAAATGGCTTAGTTTAAAAAAAATCACAAATGCAAAACGAGGATATAGTTAGCTCCATTGTTTGAGGGACGCAGCCAGAGAACATTCCAATTTCGACAACAAGAGCTTTGACGGGAATGACGCCTTTGGTTACGATCAATTATTGTTATTTTCGAAAGTGAAAAATCATTTGTATAATTATTTCTGAATCCAACAAACCAAAAACTTAAAAGTCGATCAGCGCAAAAACAAGAGCTCACCTTGATGATCACAGAGAACTTATATGATATTAACTGCTGCTCGTAGTTGCTTGAATAAAATAAGGCGTGGTTCGTAGTGTCTCTGGTCAACCGATCAGCAAAGTCCGGTACTAGCCTCTTGTAATTTGTTCTAGACACCAGCATTTTCGCTCTGCTTAAGTTGCTTTCAGCACCTGCACCCTCCGCCTCACTATCTCCGTCTTCGTTTCTTGTGTGTCCACAAAGCGGGAATTGTAGCACAGAGCAGCCACCCAGTACTGATTTGACGGGTGTTGCGACACCGTCACGCCAAGTTGTAGAGAACGGGAAGGTCAACAAGTTACTTCTCGCTACCTTTGTTTTGGCGTTGCATTCACGTTGCTGTTGCTGTTGTTGTTGCACAAAAAAATCAGAATTTCATTTTGTTTATTGCTGCAGCTGAGACTGGAATGTGTACATAGCCAAAAATTCCTGTCATGGAACTTTCCAAAATGCACTATTTGCGACATGTCAAATTTTCGGGATAGTAGAAAATTGGTTTGTTATGTACACATGTACATATGTTTGTACATACATACATATCTATGTATGTATATCCATTTCCCAGCTACCATGTGTGCTTGCCTTTTTTTGGATTGGCAGGTGTCAGCATGTTTTCTTGTTTCCTCACGTTTATAAGAGTGTCTATGTATTACTGTATTTTTGAAAAGGCCTCATTAATTTACTTTATATGTATTAGAAAGGCAAGCAACATGCGTACCCAATGTTGAGGAATTTGGCCGAAAATTACTTTCAATATGCTCCATAAAAGCTTATAGCGCACTTGTGTATGTACGCCGATCAATTTCATGGATTTTGCGTATCACTGGAGCGTTAACGGCTGCAATAAATTGGAATACAAGTAGTCAAAGTCGAACCGTATTGACAAGGGCAAGTAAAATAAAGTACCTGCGGCATGCGCCAAGCATCTAAGTCAAAGGCAACCAACAACACTAAACATCCACCGATCTGCTGGCCAAAATTATACAAATCGAATGACGCATGAAAAAGTTAGTAAGGGGACTGTGAAATGGCGAAGGCAAACATAAAATCTTGTCGGATCTTGGTATCCCTCTCCATCGGTTTTTATTTTGGCTAAGGCACTGTGTCCTTTTAAATGAGGACTGGGATCAAGCACCAAATGCAAGACCTTGTAGGGTAGCTTTATTTTATCACTCTACAGTTTTCAGTGAAGTGTAACTGCCACCGACTTACCATTTTTGATTTGTCACTCACATCAAGAGTATAGTTTAATGCGTTGAATTTCGTATTAACGTTCACGAACACGAATGTACGTACGTACATTTTAATTAAGCTTTTTCCAGGCCATTTTTACCATTCCACAATGATTTTTTCAATTAACGGGACCATTATTATGGGTATATTTTGTTGTTGTTGAAGTGCAACACTCCCATACGTTAATCGACCCCTGAAAACACAATAGATACGTACTCCGAACAAAGCACAATGAAGGCCCTAATAAATGCGGCCTGCATGTGTAGACATAGACGGAGTGCCAGTGTATGTGTTGACATGTAGGCTTACCAGGCCATAAGCTTTTTATAAAAGAAGTAATAGGGAAGTTTTCAAGGTCGGGGACATTTAACGGTTGAGCACATGAAAAGGGGTTTCATGTGTGTCAACCTATGATCGCCTTCTGACGGACACCATTTTAACGAAACCATTAAAATATTATCATGAAAACCTTAAATAGTTTGCAACGGAAAGGAGATTATTGCGCGTTGATAAATTTGCACCGCCTATTTATATAGTGAATGGCAAGTATTTCTGGCCTTTTGGGGCGCTGTCTGCGTCGTTTTTCGTTTTTGCAATGGTACGCGAGACAGAAAACAGAAACGACTAATTGTAAGACATTTGTAAGCACTCATAAAGATTTCGGCTGTCGGTCGTTGGTTAATTTTTGTAATTAAGACATTAAGCAGCATTATTATAATTCGTTTGTGAAATTGTCCATTAAGCCTAATAACTACCTGCCAAACTATGACAAAGTTGCGGGAACATTTGGCGCATGGTGTCTGTTGAAATAAATACCAATCTTCACATTCACATTGCGCATAGACCATGAACTATACACAATTTTAAGCTTACATTTCAAACAGATCAAGAAAGTACGGTTCCAGTGATTGAAATATGTTCTAGGCCCCATCTTCTTAATTTAAACGCTTATATTACCCAGAATCTCAGATTCATCAAAATACGATCAAGTTTTTCTTGAAGGCCCTAAAGTGACCTCCTGGTGGCTCAACTGTGAAAATTAGACACTTCCGAAACAAAACAAAAATGTCTAAGGCAGAACAACGCCTTGTCCTCCGCTCGCAAAATAAATCGTGTGAAACACAGTTCAGTAATAAATAAATTAATACAGAACTTGTACATATATTAATGTCTATGCCATGCTTTAGTCATCAAGTCTAGGCACCCAACCGGCCACTCACCAGAGCGCCTTTTATTCGTGCTCTGCAGGCAGTAGCTTTGGTAGTAGCTTTGGCTTTGGTCGGTTGCTTTGGCCCAGTTCTAGGCCGTTGCCATGTTTCGAGCACGGTTTCACTTTCAATTATCTGACTCCGAATTGTTGAATTAAACAAGGCGTTAGCGTTAAGCTATTCCAAATGTGATCACATTTGGTTTCTGTTCATTGGATTGTATTGGTATGGCAAACATAAGCCACCAAGGACATCAATACGCGAAAGATTTTATACTTTACATGAAAAAGTTCACTGCCAGATTGCCAATTCATTGGCGAGAGACGGATTGGTAGTTCCACCATTGGTAGTTTTACCAAATAGTGCATTCTGGAATGCATTGTAGTTTAGTGTAAATCAAAAGCCTACGGGAAACTGCTCTGCCGAAAAGCAAAATGTCTGAACTGTAACAGTATTTCATAATCCAGCATGGCGCATGGGGCACATAGTTGTGGCGCCGGCCAAGAGAGGCTGGGGAGGTGGCCAGGTTGTTGGTGAGCGGCCGAGCTGGTGTGCTTCGGTTTTTCGTTGTGGTTCGAGAAAAACTACCCAGTTATCTGCCTTGCAGCAGTATATGGTTTGCAACTGCTCGAGCACTGTGGGTAAAATTCTTAGCTAAAGTGCTAAATTTTAAGAAAACAGAAGCATACAGTCTTTTAATGGAATGGCGATCGGAAGCGAACAAATTGCTAAGGAAAAGAAAACAAAAAAATTCCCGCAAATGTTACGATTTTCTTGGTTTACTGTGCAGAAAGATCACGTGGACGTGCTAGTTCTCCAGCTCCCCAGGCAAAGGCCTTTTAATAATAAAACAAGCTTTACTCTTACTTTCAAAAGCTTAAGAGATACCAAAGTGCCGATGTAAACAAACCACGGACCACGAATGCGAACGACGTACGAGTGCAATAACAGCAGTAACAGGCACTGTAAAGTAACAGCAAGAGCCGACCACAGCTCAGTCGAAGCTGGGGCCAAGCTTAAGCTTGGGGCCCGAAACTTGGCGTCGCCTGTCTGAGCTTGCTTGAGTGTCTCGAGACACTTGATCCGCACAGTCGCGTTGTATAGTTGCTCCGATTAGGACGTGTGGTTCGCTCAAGCGCACGGTAAGAGGAGATTCGTGAGGGTCATGTCATATGCCTAAACCGAACGTGCTAGCGCGAATTTTGAAAATAGTTTTCATTATCATTCAAAAATCGATATGCTTAAGCTATATGCGTATATATGCGTACCGTGTGCTGACTGCGACTATTGCCCTCGACTCGACCAATAAATCGTACATAGAAAGCAGGCACAACTGCATTGCAGCAGAGCACCAGCCCCAGCCCCAGCCCCAGCTCAAGCGTGTGTATCGGTAGACTCGCTTTGCGTCGAAAAGAAAGTTTTCGCTAAATATACAAGCATCAACAAACAAAAATAAAAACGTGCAACTTTTGTTTTATTTTGCTTGGCATTTTCATCGCCACGCTCTAGACTCGCTCGCACATCACACAGTTTTCCGATTTGGTAGTGCCCGCGAATACCGTATGCCGTATGGGAAATCTGAATCACAGCAGCAAACGGGCGATCTGCGTTTCGATCTTTCGTTTGTCTCTTTGCATTTTGCTAAGCCTTCTTTTCCATAGCAACTGTCGGTCATTGCAGCAGCTAAGAGTGAAAAACTGAAAAACTGAAATACGGAAAAACCGCTTGCTAAAAGCAAAAGAGAAAAACTAAGTGTTGTAATCTGTGAACGTGTGTGTGAACTATGCATCGCCGCTGTGGGTAAAGCCACAAACGAAAGCTCAAATAACAGGGGAATACAAACACATCCAAATAAAGTGCAGCCACAGCCACAGCAGAAACAAAGCCCACAGTCAAGAAAATTGTAACACAAGGCCCGATACAAAAACAAAAAATCTAAATTGAAAGATTGCTACACTGCCTTCTTAGTTATTTACCAATTGTATGCAACTGAAACAGCTTTTTCTCAACTGCAACTGTTGCTGTTGTTGCTGTTGCTGTTGCTGCTGCTGGTGCTGCTCCCCGTTCTGGCCGTGCTGCCCGTCGAGACCGTGCACCAGCACCGTGTTCGGTTTGAGCTTGTCTATTGATATTTTAAGTTCTGTGAACTAACCTCAAAACGCAACAGCACCAACCACATCAAGAAAATTTACAGTTACAGTTACAACGACGACGCGCAATACCTGCAACATGGAGTTTTCAACATATCGAATAAGTTTTCTGTGGCTGCTGGGATTATGTCTGCTGCTATTCAAAACAGGTAAGTCGCGAACTTCTGGGTCGCAATGGTTAAATACTTGAAGACTTTAAAATCTGGGGAGAGCTCTCATAGCTCTCTATAGGAAATAGCTGATTCATCTTTAGTACGAAATGCAAGGTTCTAATAGTACTTGGCGGAGACCTCCCACATGAGTTCAGTTTACGGCTAGAAAATTCTGCATTCTTAGCAAATATCAATTTTGTTTAGTCAAGGGCTTAGTGAACGCACTATTTGAGATCCAATGGACTCGAATGGCTGGTCGCCTGATTGCCAAGTTTAGTTAAAGCAGTCGAAATTTGATCTTTTCGCGAGCTAGCAGAAGTTTCAAATTTTTCTTTGGGAGGTATTTTCTCTCATGCCTCTTGTTGGGTTGGTCCAGGAGCTACACACGATTGAGTTAATCGGGTCTGTATTTTTTTGAATTGTATTGTAGCTACCTTTCGCAGAGAAATAAGGCTACAAATGGATTGCTGTTACCACATTTAGTGCCACCATTCGAAAGAAACTAAGAGTTAGAGAATACATTCGATATCCGACTTCTCTCTGATCTTTTATCTAAGCGGGATTCATTCGTATGTTTTATATACTCGTAAATATGTGCATATGTGTAAATGATTAACGCCTATTCTCTTTTGTCGATGAGGTGATACCTCAAACATATTGGGTACTTTGTTATGGAAATATATTTTCGGCAGAAAAATTGAGAAGACAAACTAGTTTTGGTTTCGGTTTCAGTCACAAGCAAACCACAAGAAATCGGATTTCAATTCAATAATCTTGGAAGAAGTCAAACCACCAGCTGCAAGCCAGCACTTGCTGCTAGCTGAAGCTACGGCCGGTGGATATTTGGCCAATGTTTGCTATCCACGAAAAATTTACGCCATTGGGGGATTAATCGCTTGTCAAAGAAACGCGGTGAAATGTAAATGGGTGTTTGTATGTGTGCTTACATAAGGAGATAACTAATTAGATGTAGTATGTGAACACATACAGCCTGATCACCTGCTCTATTTACCAGCGAAACAATAACATAATCGAGCATTTCGAGCATAACAAGCCAAACCATGTCAAGCTATTGGTCAGCTGCTCGGGTTGTCCACTCAACGAAATGCTGGGTAATGGTAATGGACTTATGTAAGTTATGCCAATCAGCCAGCCGGCCAACCAGCTTATGGCACAGATATTAATTGCACACAACACACTGGCTTGAATGGCATGAATGAGTTGTGAATGTGAATAAGTGTTTGGCTAAGTGAGTGAGTGTGTCGGTGTAACCGAGCAAATTGCGGTAATAATAACTGTTAATAATCCCCGAACAGTTCACTTAATTGTTTGTCTACATTTAAATATGCAAAATTCACCAATTCACCAAAAAACAAGCCGCAGGAAATCAATGATCGTTGGCCGTTTGCGTATGCATGTAAGTCTGAACAGATAGACTGAATAAACTGAAATAAGAACTGGGTTTCCATTTTTTTTCTTGGTCCACATTAACCGGGTCTGGTCAGGGATTAAGCTAACCTTTAAACGAACTTTCGATCGTGGTTGCTGTCTCACTCTCTCTCTTCTCAATAAAAATACAAATTAATATTAAAATTACGTGCAAGTAATTAAAAGTAAGAGCATGCACACCTACTGCTCCTCATTTCGTTTGGCCACTGCCCCTCGAGTGCGCTGGACGGCTGTCTACTTCACTTTCATTTTCGGAACGAAACGGCACTCAATTGTTGCTTATACCTACCTATAGTAGGTAGCATTAATTCCTCTTTCGTAGGGGTTTGTCCAATGGGTCGTATACTGAATACTTTAGGATAACTTTAAGTTTCAAAATTGTATTGGGACTTGAAAAGAGGCCCACACACATGTGTGCACGTCCCATTGGGCATTGCAGAAGATACGTGCAAGTACAGTGTGTACAGTTACCTTGGCAAGTACTTGGCAGGCAACCTTGCCCTTTCTCTGCCTAGTGCACAAATTATAATGAAAGCTTCAGTTCACTTTCGTTGCTGCATTTTGGAATTGAGTTGAAATCTGTGAGTGCGAGTGTCTGTGTGAGTGTGAAAGCGAAAGACTTCCTAATTGATTGTTATTTCAACGAGAAGTCGCTTCCAAAACGATATAATTATCATTATTGTTTGGTCAAGACCGAAGCTTGGAAGAGCGTGTGAATTAAAACTAGCGACTCACAGTCTACACATGAATATTTGAATAGTGGAGAATGTGCGGAACTTGGCTTAACACTTATCGATGCCAGGAGGGCCGTGATAGGGGAAGAAGGGAAGTGAAATAAACGAACCATAAAACAGTTTCTTGCCACTGATGACACAATAAAACAGAAACAAATGCGTGTACAACAAAGCAATAAAGATAAATAAAAAGCAAAAGAAAGTCATAAAGCATAACACGTAGACTGCTGACTGACTGAGCGGCTGAGACAGTGACAATACTCGTACTTTCCATTTCGTTGAACTATACCTTCCAAAACTTTGATGTCATTTCTACGAGTTAACGAAAGGTCGCTTGGTTGGTCTCCGCTGAAGCGTTTTCTTGTAGAAAACACATTACCCACTACCCACTAACAAATGTCTGTCTCTGGCCCACTGAAAATATTTTCATTCGTTATTGCTGGAAAACGTTCCAGTAAATTTTGCATAAAATCGTATGTACAAGTATGTAAAGCACGACTGGCCATTGCAATGGAAGGGCCTGGTAGAAGGGCAAAACACTGTGAATGGTTAACAGCGAAAGTACCTGAGCAAAAGAACTGTATTCGATGTAGTTTAGTTTCAGTATTACTAGCCTGTACATTGGACTCTCTTTTCGCCACTCCGATGATCGGTGGAGCTCTTCGCTGTACAATTACTGTGGGACACGAAGTGTCAATGCCAATTCAGCAATGGCAACTACCGCCACGCCCCCGCCATTCATTGTGGGCTAACGTAACTACTAACTCTAAGTATGTGTTACCACAGGCCACAGGCGGTGTCAACGCTTACCGTGCGAAAGTGTTGGAGCATGCGGAAGACAGTCATTAAATTACTTGGCTAGGTCTTCGAATGTAGAGTGTAATGTGAACGCTTTATTCCTGTGTATACATACATACCTACGTATGGTGGCATGGCGCAACTTTGTTTTGCATGCACTCGCTCAGCACTAGTGGCTCGGTGCGGTGCACTTTCGCTTTTGTGCGGTCCGGCACGAACACACACCACACACCACACACCACACAGATCTGATGCAGGCTTGAGTGATTCAGTTTCCCAGTACCATGGTAGTCCCTAAATTTTGATTTTGATTTCGAAAGGCCCCAGTTAATTTTCGTTGGGTTGCAAGTTTAAATATTTGGTCGGCACTATACTACACTAAACAGCCATCACAAAACCAACATCCACAGCACCCAACATCCTCTCCTACACTTAACGATTGCCCTAAGAGCTATAAGGTCTTAATGGTGCTACTCACCTTGAAATGCACATGTTATCGTATTATAGTCGTAGCTGCAAATTATTTTCGCTGTGCAATGAGCAATCTATTAAAGCATTGCCACAGCCCGACAACATCCATAACCAATGTGAATAGAGCTTTGACGTTTGTATGCGTCGTGGGGTGGAATTACATGAAGCCCGAAGCTGCTCGGGCTGCTCCACTTAACACTCTCACACCTGCCGCTGCCGCTGCCACTGCCCCTGCCCCTGCACCGTGCCACGGCCAAATAGCTCTCTTTTTCTTTCACTACAACAATGCCTGGCAGCTGAATGTTGTATGTGGATTGCGTAAAAACTTTTAATTTTTATGATTATTTTATGCGTATTTCACTTCACATTCACGCCAGGTTGCATTCAACACACATAGACATAGATAGACACCCGACCCGAGCTGCGTGCCACTTTAATTGATTAGACAGGCTGTGCTGTAGTTTCTAGCTGGACATCCTATGTGGCGGTACAAAAAGCCACCCAGTCAGATGACTTGTGTGGAAATATGATGCATGTCGAAATAACAATACTTCATATTTTTCGAATTTTTCGGGTTTTTAGTTTTTGCAGTCCACACGAATCAGAATTTATAATTCAATTCATTCAAATCGAAGGTAGAAGATAGAAAGGTTGTGTGTCAAAACCGAAGAACCGTGTAGTCCGCACCAGGCACCTGCCAGTAAGTCTGCTGTTTCTGTCTGTTTACTCAGCCCCCCTCGCTGTCCTAGTTTGACTGTGAAAACATGAGCAAGAGTTCTATACACGAATGTAGAAACGCATGATTAATGTTAGTCTAGTTTGAAGTTATGCCATTGCAAATGAAGCAAACAAAAAAGGGCTTGGGATTAAACGTCCAAATCATAATATGCATACGCAATACTTGTGGCCGTTTTTTACCACAGACAAGACAATTTAAGCCCGCCTCTTGAGACTCTCACGGCATTTGTTCTTGGACGCATGATCACGGGATCGCCTGAATTTGCGATGTGGCAGACAACCCATACAAGGTCATTCCGGACCCATAGCTGAGCAATTTAGAAAGGTAAACTTATAATAAATAATTGTATTGTATTGTATTTTGGGCGGACACGGACCGATTTGTCAAGGTCCCAGTCGAATTTAGATACCAGCCACAGTCGGGACTGGCGATTATGATTCACCAGAGTCCGGGAATCTTATGTAAATCTACATTTGTAGGCATCATAAATTGCAATGACTATCCCATACACTCATAAATACATATGTACATACATATATACTGGTACATATGTATGTATCCCTTTATTAATGAACGTCGGGCAGCAGTAACAAGAATGAAAGTAAAAGCTGTATCCCCAATCCCCCAATCCATGCTCGGGCACAGCACGATTCGTCTGTTCGGCCTGTGGCTTTTTCATTGTCTCCTTTGTGGGCAGGTAAATGGATAAACTGGATTTTTGCAGATGCTCGATTCAACGACCTTGACGCGATCGCCGTTGCTGCTTTGTTTTGTAGTTTAATGGACCGTTGTTTTTTTTTTTAAGT